TATAAATAAGAAAACAGGACAGCCATGACTAATCTGTACACAGACAGTGAAACGGGCAAGCTGAAGGGAGAGGCAATGGTATGACCCACTTTCTGCTAAGGCAGCAATAGACTGGTTTGATGGTAAAGAATTCTCTGGGAATCCTGTCAAGGTTTCATGTGCTACTTGGCGAGTAGATTTCAGTTGGGGTAGTGGCAGTGGTCATGGAGGGTGAGGAGGACCCATGGGCCATGGAGACTATGGAGGTAGTGGCGGTGGTGGGGCTGGACTCCCCAGTGGAGGTGGCGGTGGTAAAGGATAGCAGTGAGCTAGAGATGGAAGTGTCCTAATCCTACATGTGAGAGTCTGAACTCTTGGAGGAATGAATGCAACTGTGTAAGGCCCCTAAACTAGACGGCCCAGGACAGAAACCAGGATGCTCTCTGGTGGAGGTTGCTATGGAGATGGTCGCCATGGTGGCAGAGGAGGCTATGATTAGGGCAGCTATCTAGGCCGAGAAAGGGATCATGGGGGCTCACAGAGGTGGCCAGGGTGGTGGGGACCAAGATTACTTCAAGCAGGTTGGCCCTGGCAAGATGGACTCCAGGGGTGACCACAGATAGGATTGCAGAGATGCCATTTTCGCCTGTCTCCTGAGGTTCTGAAACAGGTTTTCTCCTGTACCCAGTGCGACTCTCATTATTGTATAACCTTCCAACTCCTGACCACACATGGGTTTTTTTGTGACAGACTATGTAATTATAGCCATATCTATGGTTCCCATTAAACACCATTGTTTTAGAGAAAGAAAGAAAGAAAGAGAGAGAGAGAGAGAGCAGAAGTGGTTGAAAAATCACCCCAGCTAAGTGCGAAAGACCACCCTGCTCACACACATCCCGAGATAAGACCTGTCTCCTTCACCATGATTCTCATGAGACTCTCTGATGACTCACTTATTTACCTGCCTCTATAAAACCCAGGTCTCTCTCCTTTTCTTTAGGACAGACGCTTCTCATTAATGAGCATTTCCCCTATTGCAATCGCTGAATAAATTCACTTCCTTAATTGTCCAGGGCATTTTGTCTTTCACAATATGATTAAATTCCAAGGTTAAATTTCCAAAATGGAGAGCTAGAGCAGCGTGTAAGAAACAATACTCAAGTCAAGGTTAACCTATGAGGACACTTACTATAATATAATTGTTCCATGAACTTTTTAAGTGCAGAAATATTAATGACGTTGTGGAAATAATGTACAAATGGAGTTCTGACTCTTTTTTCTCTAGGTTTGGGTTGCTTTGTAAAAGGGAGGCGGGGGAGGAATTTCCTAAGTAAAGCTCATTTCCGTTCCCATTGCATTTGAAAGGGATTTCACTTAGAGAGTCTTTGTGATCTGGAAGTCCCTCGGGTCCTTTTGTGTTTGTGGTGCAAGATGGCACGCTGACAGCCTGGCCAGTGGCTGCTGTAGACTGACAGCTCCTCCTGGAGGGCGTAGGTAGGGGTCGACCGGCACTTTGACCTTGAAGGGACAGCTTCTTGAGGTCTGAAGGACAGAGAGTTGAGTCCTTGGACAGTGGGCTGCTCTCTTGGTGGTACCTGTCAGGGAGAATTTAGTATTAAACATGATATTCAGAATTGAATAGTAAGGAACAAGGAGACACCAATGACCCAACTACAGTAGTTTAAGACTCTGAACGTGAATGTTTTCACATAAAAGGAATGCTTGCTAAGAGTTAAGGGGGTGACTTAATCTCACTTGCTTACACACTGACCCAGGGGAGATATAGCACAACTCTACAGTATACTTTTCTGCTTTCAGAAATAAAATTCTACCCAATGTCATTTAAAGAAACACTTTCTATATCTAAAGAATTGTGCCTGTCCTTCACAAAGTCCAATATTTCCATTGAAAGGACTTTTCATTCTACTTCTAAAACCTGATTTTTCTTTCACTCTGCATTTCTAATTGATCTGATAAAGAAAAAACCATTCATATGGAGTTATAGAGAGATTTTTAATGGTGTTTTGATTCATCTCTTGCTAATACTCTTCTGATATTAACAATAGCATCCCCAACACCTCAGTACTTTTTTCACAATCAATCCTTTACCTTCCCTGTTCTCTTCAGCTCACCGCGACCCATTTCTACTCTGCTGCCCAAAGAAGCAAGTAGTAGAGGCTTAGAAGTTGCAGAGTATGCTGAGATCTAAGTTCCCATCCTGGCTGTGCCACTCAGTGGGGCTGTGACTTTGGCTGACCTAAGCCTCAAGTCCCTAATTTTAAAATAGGAACCATAACAGTACCAATCTCACAGAGTTTCTATGGGAATGAAATAAGAAAATATACATGCTATGTGTCTGTAACACTGGAAACAGTAAGTGCTAGCAATTAATTTTATCCTATATTGTCTTAAATTGCTGGTTTGTCATTTTCTATTTAAGTGTCTTTGTCTCCCTTATAAAATTGTAACTGCTATATAAGTGGAAAGTCATTTAGCTTTTATTCGTTCCTAAATTAATTTTAAACAGGTATAAAATTCATTCATTATCTGTATAGTGCTATGAACTGTGCTGAGTTCCAACCATCTGCTCCCTCCCCCAATGACTTTGCATGTGTGCAGGTGCATACACACAGGCACACACACACACACACACACACACACACACACACATGTCACTCAAGTTCCATCCCCTTTAACAGCCATAATTATCTTACATTGTCCTATTTCTTCATAGGATTCTATTCTTTTCTTTTTTATATCTATTTTATTGATTTTTTACAGAGAGGAAGGGAGAGAGACAGAGAGTTAGAAACATCGATGAGAGAGAAACATCGATCAGCTGCCTCCTGCACATCTCCCACTGGGGAAGTGCCCGCAACCCAGGTACATGCCCTTGACCGGAATCGAACCCGGGACCCTTCAGTCCGCAAGCCGACGCTCTATCCACTGAGCCAAACCGGTTTTGCGATAGGATTCTATTATGTAACCATGTTATCAAACTGTCTAAGTACATAAGGTGCTCACACTAAGATTTTCAGTTAAAGAAATATGTGTCTAGCCCTGAAATGGATGTCGCATACTCCAGTCCTCTTTAAAGTGACAGCTTTTCTTTTTATTCGTACAGATAATATTTTCTAAAATTTTCTCCATGGAAATTGAAAGATCAGACAGAGGCCAAAAACCAGGACTATAGGCTTTATTAGAGGAGAAGGACCTGCCGGGCTGTCTCAAAAGGGGAGGACAGCAGCACGTGCAGGGGTGGGCACGCCTTTTGAGGGGCGGAATGGGAAGGGGTGGGGGGCTTAGTGTACTTGGCGCACACTGACTGGTGGCTTACTGCATTTTCCATATAGGACAAGGGCTTAGGGTATTTGGCAGGTGTGGATTGGTGGTCCAATGTATAGTCCATATAAGGTACCTGGTTAGTCACTCAGGTTTTTCCTGGCTGCAGGTTACGTTATACTCCGCCCAGTTGGGGGAAGGGAGGATCTATCAGAAATTGAAGAGAGTTAATTAACCAGTGCCTAGATTATGTTAGATGATGTTATGAAAATATGTTACAATGTTCATGTCAGGCACAACATATGTTTCATGTGAAAATTCAGCAACATGATTGCATGTAGTTACAGAAAGTCTCACTTAATCAACTGTTACTTACTCAGGTGTATGGAAAAAACCTACTGTTTTGGGGGATTTAAGAAGGGTTTCTAAAAAGGATTATGGTTTTGGCAGCATAAATGAAAATGCCATGGCCATTACTGCTTCACTAGTTAAACAAGCCAACTCATAAAACTAAACTGTATCCTTCATTTTAAATTCAATAACGCCCTTCATTACTAGTCTGATTAAAGAGCAGTTCAATACTAAGTAAGAGTTCTGGAACCTTGAATTTGCACTTTGCAACCTCCTATTTGTAAAACTAAGTTGCTAAAAGTCAAGTGTTTTTCTAATGAGCTGATTATGTATCTCCAGGGAGAAAACAGCCACAAAGGAAAAAAAGATGAGAGAAATGGGAAAGAGAACTCCAAATCAAAAATATGCACAAATCATTTCTCTCCTTTTCCCCTCTGCATCAAAGACAAATAAACTCTTTGAGACTGAAAATGTCAGGTTAAAAGTCACAGTCCAAAAAGCAACAGGCAGAATTGAACAGCTTCAGAAAAACCTGTTAGATGCGAGTTCAGTTCAGAATAAATTGTACCTATAGGCTGCCGTATTGATTCTATCAAGAAAAATGGCAAATTATAAAAAAATGATTATTTGATTTAAGAAACTCTTTAAAAGGATAAGAAAGTAGTTCAGTTAATATGAAAATGGAGAGTTTAGTTTTGTGGAGAGCTAAAAACCTATCAAGTTGAAATAGATAATTAGATTAAAATGTTAAAATATAAGAAAAAAATGTTGATGGATTAGAGATATATTATGGGTGTCGAACTCAGGAGTCTCAATAATCCAGGAGTAAACTACCTGGCCCAGGAATTCCCAAACCTTGGTAGCTAGCTAACAGGCGCATCTAGAGAGCTTCCAAAACCAGATTACTGAGTCCCATCCCTCAGTATTAGTGCCTAGGCTGGAGTTCAGGAGTCTGAACTCTCCATGAGCCCTAGAGAGATTCTGACGCAAGGCCATGCTTGAAAAAACCATGAATTTTTGCCGTTATTCCAGGTCAGCTTTATTCCCACACTCCAAATGGGTGTGGGTTGTCTCCTCACATGGCCTAACCAGCAGGCTGCTGAGAGCACAAACTAATCTCAAAGTAACAGCACGTTGGGAAGCAGCAACAGTGTCCCAGATTCCGGCTTATTTAAGCAAGTTCAAGCTGCATAGCCAATCTAACCTCAAACAGCAGGAGTGCTTGGAGAAATGAGCTCTCCTATTGAATTGACTCCCTAATCCTGTTTTGGATACTCAACTTTGTTAAGAAAGTTTTCTAAAAGTGTTTTGGTCTATCTTTTTGTAAAAGGCAGACTAGTAGGCATGATACATGACTCTTCGATAATTGGGGTCCTTCTGTGCTTCAGGGTTATCTTCATTATCACAGTCTGGAACTGGAGCTGGTGAGTTGAATTGGAACAGCAGGCTTCCAGAGACAGAGGCCAAGAAGAAGGGGCATTCATGCCCCTCACTCCCTAAGATCTCCAATAGCCTCCACCCCCTCTCCGAACAAGCCACCACAATAAATGCATGTGTACACTACGTAAAAACAATGCATCCGTGCCTACCAACGGAAAAAGAGCTTCAAGCCACTCCAAATAAACATACATTCCAAGTACATGAGACACCTGATTCCCCCTTTTGCTACCCTCTTTTATGGAATCTCTTCTATTGAGATTCTGGAACCATCACTGGCTCTAGGAAGGATCTGAGACAGGTCCAAATCCTTTTCCATATGTATTGGTATATGCTTAAAATTCTACTAGTTTTCTTCTACTTCAGGCCAAGATGGCTTAACAGGGACTAAATATACCTCCCACCGGAAACGACCAAAAACTAGGAAAATATAAGAAGAAAGAAAAAATCAGCTTTTAAGACACTGGACATCAGACAACATAAGAGGGAGAGCTCTGAGTAGTGGGAAACAAGGTGAGAACTAACATCTGCCCCATCATACTAACTTGAAAAAGTTTCCAGGCCATGGTGCAGCAAGGAGCAATAGTTACGGATTGTGGTCATGGTTTCACTGGTATATGTATAAGAAAGAAATGTATCCAATTGTGTACTTTAAATATTACAGCTTATTGTGTGTCAAAAAGCTTTTAAGCCCTGGCCGGAGAGCTCTGTTGGTTAGAGCATCCTCCTGATATGCCAAGGTTGTGGGTTCGATCCCCAGTCAGGGCACATACAAGAAGTAACCAATGAATTCATGAATGAGTGCAACAACAAATTGATGTTTCTCTCTCTCTCTCTCTCTCTCTCTCTCTCTCTCTCTCTCTCAAAAATCAATCAATAAAAAAATTAATCTGTTAAAACAAAATTCTACTAATAGAGCTTCCCTTGAGCTTCTGGCTTTGATGCCAATTAAAATGGAAATCCCAGGGAAGGGGGAACCAGTTTAAATGTGTAGTATTAAGTTATCACATTGTGGTGTCAATAAAAACCCAAGTACAGAATTGTATAGGGAGAACAAGGATGCGTACTAGGGATGGCTAGAAAGAGGAATTCACAGAGAAGGGAGATAGAGCACAGGATAGGAAATGCAAACAAACTTTGCAAGTGTGTTGTCAGCTAGAAACAACAGGGGTGGTTTTGCTGGAAAGTGTGGTGCTGTGTGTTAGTTGCCACAATGATGGGGAGTATTACTAGCATTTAGTGGGCAAGAGCCAGAGAAGGCAAGTCCTACACTGCGTGGGACTGTTCTGCACAACAAGGAAGAGTCCCACACAAAATGCCAATAGCACTCCACTGAGAAACCCTAGTGAAAAGAGTTTGGTTACACAGACTGTTGGTCCCTTCAGCAATACCAGCATTACAAAGAGGTCTTGGGGTGCACTCTGCTCTGTATGGCTTGTAGTGCGAAACAGAACACTTACTCATCAACCTTTCTTAGCCAGTAAGTTTTTCTGATGTTTCCACTTCAAATGTAATCAAAACCTCCAAAGACTTGAGAACCCTGACATGAATACAGAGACTGTTTTTAAAGCTAACTCCTTAAATCCTAAAAACCTGTAAGAAAATTACAGTTACTATAACCAACTTTCTCATCCAGAATAGTTGGTTGTACTAGTAAAGTTAAAATTGTGTAAAGCGAATTGGTGAGGTATTCCCAGTAGAAAAAAAGAATCTTCCTAAACCAATAATCAATTTTTGGTGAGAAAGGAAGTTATAATAATGAAATTTAGATTCAGAAGAGACCTTGCAGGTCATCTTGATAAAACAGCAAGAGAAGGTGAGGGCGAGAAACAGTGCAGTGGGCCAGGGCCCTTCTCGGCAGCCTAGGTTACTGCACAGTGTGGTATACCACAGGTGTGTGAATACTCCCCCCCCCCCCCCCCCCCCCCCCCCCCGCCGGGAGCTCACTTTTTCTTTGCAGCGTTTTGCATTGTTTTCCTATCCTGTCTTTCAAGGCCTCAACCCCCATTAATTTTCCACATGCCTATGTATCTCTTGACTCACAGCTGTTAGAATGCTATGCTCCCCTCCTCCTCCTAATGTCTAGATACTGACTGTGTAACAGCATCACACTTTGAGTTATGAAGCTTAGGAAGCTCCTTTCTGCATTTATACCCGGACTTCTTTCCCACTGTGCAGACTGAAATTTCAGTGCCAGATGAACTTCTCCGCCAGAGGCCCTCACGCTTAACCTGTGCAAACCAGTACAGGGCTTGATCCCCCCTGACATCCTTATTTCTCTGGAAGGCATCACCTTGCACTCACCCCAGCTTGAAACCACAGTGGCTTATCTCTCCATCTCTCTTATGTTCCTTAAATCAACTGACAGTTGTAGTTTTTACTTCCCCAATTTCTCTCATCCATCCCTTTTTCTTTATTCCCACTACCACTAGCCCAATTCAGATTCTAATTGCTTCCCACCAACCTTTGGTCTCTCCCTATTTCAGTCCATTTTCAGCACAACTGTCAGGTTATTTTCTGTAAGAGTGATTTTTATCACATTCTCTGGCTCAAAACTTTCAATAGTTTTCTCATGTCCTATGAAACAACATGTAAAATTTTCCCCTGGATTTGTAAGACCCTCCAAAATATGGGCCCAATTTTACTTTTTAACTTTATATTTAATAATCTTGGTGTATTTTTTAAATTGCACTAGGCTGCATACCTTTCCTAATACATATTCAATTTTTCCCTGCCTCAATCTTAGCTTCTGCTATTCTCTTCAACTGCAATAACTTCACCGCCATTTTCAATATCCTTCACCAACTGTCGTCTGGCATCTTGATTCTCCCCAGAACTGAACATAGTCCTTCCCATCTTTAAATCTCTTTGGAAATTTGCTCAAACTCATTGATGACATGTAGCAGGTACCCATTGTATTATCTTTATTTATGCAAATATCATGTATCCCGGTTAGAATCAGCTTCTCAAAGACAGGAACTATGCTTTACTCTGTATTCACCACACAGAACCAGCACTCAATAAATGTTTTTTTTAATTGTAATCAATTATTTATTTTTTGGCATTTATATAATCTGTTGAAATGAGAAAAATTATACTTTACTATTTAACTAACCGGATTTGAATTTAAAGCAAGTTCTCTCAAAATACCTTCTTCATTATTACATATGTGAGATAAACAGAACTCCAAAGTCATTAGTAGAGGAAAAGCATTAAAAAAAAAAAAAAAAAAAATTGTAATAGAAAATAAGTTTTGGTTAGCAAGTTAAAAACATACTCCAAACAACAATCTCACCCGACAGAGGATTCATCCAGACTTTTAGGCTCTTTGCCTCTCCATAAGACAGGGCCATTATTCTCTTCCTTGACTAAAAATAAAGAAAAGTTATTTGGTAATTAATTACATTATTTGATTTAGTTTATGAAGAAGATGTAGTCACTGATTCTATGAGTGCTCATAAATTCTCACACAAACTTACAAGTACAAAATTATAAGCTCCGATTGCCCCTCAGGAGTAGGGGGAGTTAGAGAAGCCCTGAGGGGCGATTGGGGCTGGCAGTCGCCGCTCACACCCACTGACGGCATGGAGCGATTCGATCGGGGCGGCGCCGGCAGCGGCTGCGAGCGCTGGGCAGGACCATGGCACGCGAGAGCAAAGAATTTTCAGTAATCACCGGAGGCTCACCCCGATGACAGCGACCAGTGCCCCACCTTGGTCTGGTGCCCCCGCTCACCTGCTCCACCATCACGCCACGGCCGACACCCGCCATGTTCTGTGCTCTGCTGCCAACACCCACCATATTCCGCGCATGCCCCCTGGTGGTCAGCGCACATCATATTGATTGGTTGTTTGTTTGTTCCGTTGTTCTGCCGTTCAGTCTATTTGCATATTAGGGTTTTATATATATAGATTATTGACTACTAGAGTCCCGGGTCATGCACCAGTGGGGTCCCTCGGCCTGGCCTGCAGGAATCGGGCCAAAACTGGCTCTCCAACATCTCCCGAGGCGTCCTGGGTTGTGAGAGAGCAGTTCTTGAGTGACGTACCCCAGAACCAGGTCCCTCCTCTTGGGTTCCAGGTGCATCACCCGAGAACCACAGCTGCCAAGTCACTGCAGCTCAGCAGCTCCTGCATTGAGCGTCTGTCCCCTGGTGGTCAGTGCATGTGATAGCTACTGATCAGATGGTGGAATGGTCGAATGGTCACTTAGGTTTTTATATATATACTAGAGGCCCGGTGCACAAAAATTTGTGCACTCGGGGGGGAGGGGGGGTCCCTCAGCACGGCCTGTGCCCTCTCGCAGTCTGGGACCCCTCGGGAGGTAACGACCTGCTGGCTTAGGCCTGCTCCCGGGTGGCAGAGGGCAGGCCTAATCCCTAGGTGCAGCCCCTGGTCGGGCTCAGAGCAGGGCCGATTGGGGAGTTGGGGCGCCACCCCCAGTCATGCACAGAGCAGGGCGGATTGGGAGGTTTCGATGCCACCCTCAGTCATGCTCAGGGTAGGGCCGATTGGGGGGTTGGGGCACCGCCCACTGTCACACTCAAGGCAGGGTCGATGGGGAGGTTGCGGCGCCACCCCCTGTCACGCACAGAGCAGGGCCCATCAGGGGGCTTGGGGCTCCGTACCCTGTCACGCACAGAGCAGGGCCGATCAGGGGGTTGGGGAGCTCCCCCCTGTCACGCACAGAGCAGGGTCGATCAGGGGGTTGGGGAGCTCCCCCCTGTCACGCACAGAGCAGGGCCAATCAGGGGGTTGAGAAGCTCCCCCCTGTCACTCACAGAGTAGGGCCAATAGGGGAGTTGGGGCACTGCCCCCTGTCACACACAGAGCAGGGCGGATCAGGGGGTTGGGGCGCCGCCACTGTCACACCCAGGGCAGGGCCGATGGGGAGGTTATAGCTCTACCCCGTCACAGAGCAGGGCCCGTGGGGTGGGGGGGGGGGGTGGGGTTGGGGCGCTGCACCCTGTCACACACAGAGCAGGGCCGATCAGGGGGTTGGGGCGCCACACCCTGTCACACACAGAGCCGCAGGGTGATCAGGGGTTGGGGAGCTCCTCCTATCAGGCACAGAGCAGGGCCAATCGGGGGTTGGGGTGCCTTCCCCTGTCATGAACAGAGCAGGGTGGATAGAGAGGTTGTGGCCCCGCCCCCTGTCACACACAGAGCCGCAGGGTGATCAGGGGGTTTGGGCGCTGCCCCGTCACACTGATCCCGGTGCTGGGTGGCCTTGCGGCTCCGCTGATCCCAGTGCTGGGAGGCATATTACCCTTTTACTATATAGAATAGAGGCCTGGTGCATGGGTGGGGGCTGGCTGGTTTGCCCTGAAGGGTGTCCTGGATCAGGGTGGGGTTCCCCACTGGGGTGCCTGGCCAGCCTGGGTGAGGGGATGATGGCTGTTTGCAGCTGGTCATACACCCTTCAGGGTGGGGGTCACAACTGGGGTGCCTGGCCAGCCTGGGTGAGGGGCTGAGGGCTGTTTTCAGGCTGGCAGGTGACTGAAGCTCCCAACT